CTAGTCTGCAGCATTCAGCCCCTCTCCAGCTCCTCTAAGCTTTAATTGCATCCATAGCACCTCTTGCAGTTCTTGCTTCTCACCATCCTCACAGAGCACCATGCAAACCCTCCCAAAAAAATCTCCAAAACACAAACCAAAAAAACCCCTTATTTTGGACATCATATTGACTTTAATTTCTTTCTCCTGGCAGGGTTCTTCTGAGGCTGAAGATTTAGCAAACGCAATTCAGCAACAGAAAAGTCACTAAGGTAAATCATTATTTGTTTTTTGCTTTTTGAACTAATAAATATAATAAATATATTTTTCTATATACTCTTTCTTTATTAGGGCTGCAAATATTACCAAATTATTGATATTTCTTGAAGTGACACACGACCTGAGGAAGGCTACACTTTTTTCCGATTTTCGACACACCAAGCTGAAAAGGTTATCCATCACTGTTCTAGTCTGACCTTTGCAAAAAGTAGGCAACATTTTCTTCCCATTGTATTTCATGTTACATGCAGAAGCAAATATTTCCATAAGTCACATCTAAAGTTGATAATTTCCTGCCCACAAAGGAGTTTACCTAAATCTGGTCTTGCTTAACTTGGAGAGCATTCTGTACATGATAATTGTATAAATTAAAAATATATTAACTACATACATTACCACCTTAGTGTAGTAGCCACTAAGATCTGGGAAAAGACAAAGCTGGAACATTAACATATTTACATGTATAAGATATATTTATTTTTAGAGTGCATTGTCCTTTCTGGAGATGAATGCTTCTATTTCGACAAACCCAGCTGTGATGGACCAATTCATTCCCTTTCCTCTCCCTTTAAGCCCACAACTGTCTCCTTTGACATGACCTTTTCAGCCTTAGCAGAGCCCTTCTAAGGGGCTGCAAATAAATGAGCCCCATTAAGTCCCTTTGTCCCCTAGCCTGCCTGGCTTGTCTTGCCGACTCCCACATGAATAATGGCAACAAAGGAGGGTCCTGCCTAGCTTATGGTGGGTGAAGAGACGGCTTGTCACTTCTCTCTGAAGCCTTATTGCCACAGCACAGGTGCTTAGACTGACTTTCCACTCTTGAATTATTCACCAGAGATCAAATTAACATGCAAAGAAGTATTTCTTCATAGCATAAATATTCATGATGTTTCAGGGCTTGTTCTTTTTTCCAAGCCTACTTATTAAACCTGGGTAAAATGCAATGAAACAGGCAGGGGAAGATGTACCTCTTCGCATGTTGTGCACACACGTGTAAAATGCTGGTCTAGAAAAAGCCCTAGCACACTGGATCTCTGAATCTCTTTGGGCATGAAAGAGAGTTGAGGGAGGCAGGCAGACAAACTGAGAGCAATAAAGCAGGGAATAGTGCAATAAACAGTCAAGGAACAGTTGTTTTTCATCAAAGAATAAGGTTTCCCCCTATCCTCATCTTTTGCTTGGGTCAGATCCTCTCTGTAAATTAGACTTCAGGAATATCACTTCTTGGAAGTACATTTAGTTTGAACAATTTATCTGACGGGAAAATCAGTGGAATTACTTGCCTCCAGAGTTTGTGAGGTTTTTAAAAAGAGATTGGAAAAACCATTTGTCTGAACTATGGGACATAGCACAGTGATTAGAGTGCTGTACTGCAGGCCATCTCTGCTGACTATCAGCTGCCTGCAATTTGGCAGTTCAAATCCCACCAGGCTCAAGGTTGAACTCAGCCTTCCATCCTTCCGAGGTGGGTAAAATGAGGACCCAAATTGTTGGGGGCAATATGCTGACTCTGTAAAACTGCTTAGAGAGGGCTGTAAAGCACTATAAAGTGGTATATAAGTCTAAGTGCTATTGCTATTGTTATTATAGGGTTTCCTGCTTGAGGAGGGGGTTGGATTAGAAGACTTCCAAGGTCCAACTCTGTTATTCTGTAATTTTTTTAGGTGGGAAAGACCTGTGCATACATTAGCTTCCTATTAAACTTATTATTGCTCCTACTATGCACAGGATCTAGTCAACTAACAGTCAGCACTAATTTGGCTGATATTTCACTAGGGAACTCAAGAGCAGTTGAATTTAGTCTGCTTGTGACTACTAGGCTGATTCCTCTGTTGATTCAGCCTCCCAGGCTCTGCTATTTGTTTTCCTACATCATTCCTGGGACAGATTTTTAAAAACAAGCCAAATGAAAGTTGATGAGAGAGAACATCTTTACGGGATAATGGGTTCATATGCACCACCCAGGATTTAAAGGGAGCTATTGATCCAACAGCAATCTCATAAAAAGAGCACCTAAGAAAGACTATATTGAAGTGAAATTGATTACCTACTTTTTAAGCTATATCTTTATATAATTAAAAATTGCAACAAGCATCTAAAATCTCACTTTTTAAAAGTCCTAGCTGATATTAATGGGCTTCTCTTCAATTATTCTACAGTATTAGGTTACTTGCTATCATTATCCTCTTTTAATGACCCCATAATTTCTTGCAGGGTGGAGCCTGGGAAACTGAATGGATCTGAGTGTTTACTGGCCAGATGCCCTTCCTGTTGCCAATGCAGAGTTTTGTTCAGCAGATGTGCCCGACCTATTATCAAACTCACAGCTTCCTGATTGTGAGGCAAGAGTGCCACCTCTAGGCCATTACACCACTCTTATTAGCTTACTTGCTATGATGTTATAAAATCTTCACAAAGAGTTTAACTTCCCAAAGGAGAAAGCCATAAAGCAATTTATGTTTACAACTGATATTTGAGATTTCAGTAATATGTTAATAAAGCATACAAATACAGCTTGATCCAGTTTGTTAAGCATACTGTCTATTCTTTTTGAATTTAATTAACCTTTTGTACCTTTGCAGTATTCATAACTTTCTAATGCATACTCACAGGGAAGTGCAACGTTTTATATTCTGCACAGAACAACACTTTGGTCTAGGGCTAGGTAAAGATGTTTCACACAACAAATACAGCTTGGGAGAATGGTAAATCCATTCATGGAATTCTCTCCCTTGTGAGATGCAATTCAAGAGGAAAATAACAAAGGCAAAAGTAGTCAATCCAGTCTCTTATAATGGCTTTATAGAAACTTTTATTTTGTAATAATCCTATTTACTTCCTTTTAAATCCATAGTTTCTGTTTATGCAATTGTACATTTTAACATTTAAGTGGCCCTGAGAGTTTTTATATTACCATCAGAATACAAATGAAGAACAATATTAACCAATTCTATTATTTTTGTTAAATTTGAACAAAAACATTTCTATAGCTTTCCACAATTGTTCAAAGCATTCAAATGGATAATCTAAATACAGATCTCAGTGGAATTATTGCCTCCAGAAATTGTGGGTACCCCATCACTAGAGGTTTTCAAGAAGAGATTGGATAATCATTTGCATGAAGTGGTATAGTGTAGGGTGTCCTACTTTAGCAGGGGATAGATTAGAAAACCCCTAAGGTCCCTTCCAACTGTGTTATTCTATCACTGTTTTGTTATTCTGTAAGGTTGGAATTGGGTGTGGGTGTGCAACCCAAATGGTGTACTTCAACAGTGAAGAAATTGCTGTGTCTTCAAGCAGGGGTGGGATTCAAATTTTTTAACAACCGGTTCTGTGGGCGTGGCTTAGTTGGTGGGCATGGCTTGGTGGTCATGTGACTGGATGGGCGTGGTTAACTCAACATCACTCACATCGAGGCACGCATCTCCTTGCCTGGCCTCTCATGACTGCGGGGATGCTGCAACAGTCGTGTGAAAAACAGTCATGTCACTTTTTTCAGTGCCATTGTAACTTTGAATGGTCACTCCACACAAGCAAAGTAGCAGCAAAGGAGGAAAAAAAACTCCAGAGAAGTTCCAGAGACAGGAAGTCTAGTCCTGCCAAGAATGTAATAAGGGTTAACGGAGAGGCAGTTTCTGTAAGCAACACCAGAATGTTTCCTTCCTGCCTTCCTTACAGGATTAGGCCAGTAATCTCTTCTAACAACTGGTTCTCCGAATTGCTTAGAATGTTAACAACTGATTCTAGCGAATAGGTGCGAACCTGTAGAATCCCACCCCTGCCTTCAAGTAATATCCCACAAATCTTGTCTTTCCTAAATAGATGTTGCAGTGAAGAAAACATTCAAATATCACTGATTATTTTTCCTGACCTGATGCTTGCTTAAAAGTGTTGAGACTGTAATTCCTTGAATTTGGCACCTGGGCAATCTGGGAGTTGTAGACCCAGAGCAAAGCACAAGGTTAGAGAAACTTTGAAGCTTCTCAACCTTAGTAACTTTCCAGATGTTGGACTTCAATTCCCAGAATTCCCTGGCTAGCTGCCAAGTTGAGAAGCATTCTTACTGGTTTCCAATATCACTTGCTCTGCATTAAGCTTCTTGTGGGCCAATAGGGATGGCAGAAAAAGCATTCAAGGCAGCAAAAAAGCCTTTTGTCTCCCAGAATGAAACACTGGGCTTCACCCAAATCGTCCTCTTAATCAAGGTGCAGGAAGTAACAGTGCATAGAAGTGCACAGAATAAAGAGTTGGCAGCCCCTCAAATACTGGAAGACAGTGGGCTTCAACTCCCAGAATTCTCCAGCCAGCTTGGAGACCTCTGATATATAGTGTTGAATTGCAAAGAGCCAATTTTGGCCATGGAATTTAGTTGATACTTAGGTCCTTGTACTGGTTTCATATATCTGAAATACAGCTATATATGTTTCAATGAACCACTGGATTATTTTACTTAGAACCATGCTCCCTTTGCATAAAAATTACACAAATTCTTTGTGAACAGCATGCCTTACTTTTTATTTTCTGAATATGTTTTGTATTGAACATGCTCTGCAGAAAAATACAATTTAGCAGGTACCTCATTGCCATGCAGTGAAATTACTGAAACAACAAACAACAACACAGACCAAATCATGAAAAATAGATAAAATTGTGGCAGAAGATCTTTCCATTTATTATGTAAACCACAAAATGGATGAATTCCTCCCCACTAATGATCCAGTTCCTCAGTTTTTACCTCATCCCATTAACCCCCAATTCAAGCAATCAAAAAGCTTCATCCCCTTTTCCCTGAAATATTAGTATGTTTCTTGTGCTTCTTTTCAGTTGTATCACAAATGAAATGTCATTTGTTCTAGCTTTGGCATTCAGAATCAGTCCTCCTCCTCAAAAATAGCTATTGCATAATGTCCAGCTGGAATGTACACAGCAGATTCCACCTCTCCTCCACCCTTGCTTTGTTTCTGGAAATGGATCTCCAGGGCTTCACACATCAGTTCCCTCCCTAAGACATCTGGAATTTCTGTCAGCAGGACGGTACGAGCGCAGACGGAAGGATGGAGCTGAGATGGAGAAAAAATTGGAGACCGGTGAACAAATGCCACAGTTGAAAATAAACATAAAGCCAAGAACAAGTTGTTAAAACAAAAAACAAGATTCAAGAAGATCCTGGTTTACAGATCGGATCCTTTAAATTGGGGCTTTTGACATGAGAGGGTTGAATATCCAATTTATATGTATGACAGGCCCATTCTACAGTAATTTTAAATGGATGACATGTCTTTTAACTCTTCAACTGGCACCAAGATACAGAGGTACCCACCACATTTGCATTAATAATTGAATGTGTGGGTGCTATGGAATCACTTTTGCTCAACTTTTGAAAATAATTTTAAGCTGAGCTAAAGGAAAACTTTTTTCTCTCCTTTATATACACCATTTTTCTATGGAATTATTGGTGCTATAATGTATCAGAATTTTGGCATTGAGAAGGAAGATCTCTCTCAAATTAGGGCCAGAGTTGGCTATTGTTTAGGGCAGAGCCTCTCTGAGAATAGTGTCTGTCTCTGTGTCAAGAACTGCATGCATAAAAGAGCAGAGTGTGAAGCCGCACTTGCTTTCTTGTAGCTTTTGATCCAAAGACACTCAAGCCCCAAAATCTTGTGATATGGCTCCCAGAAATCTCCGAACACTTAATGCCAAGTTTTAATTTTTATAATGGGAGAGAAAAAAAAAAGATTAAATATCACTGGCAAAGAATCATGTAAATGATATTTTGAATTAAAGTTAATGTAAATGAAATGAAATTTCCTTCTGCCCCACCCATTACTTTTGGAAAACAGCCATTCCCATTGGCTGTAGTCTTTGGATGGGGAGCAAAGTTTGCTTAAGGAGAGAGGAGAAAGCAGTGTGTCTCTGTCCATTTTTTCCCCCTCACCTGTAAATCTGCAATTTCCCCATGTAAGCAATGTGAAGCCTTGACCTGATGCATCTCCTTTCCAAGCAGTATCTGGAACAGTCCCTTTTCAACAATCCGTTGAGCTACTGTAAGGGAGGAAAAAGCCTGTGTTTGAAATCTGTAACAGAGATCTGTTCCCCACATATCTATCTGTACTGGTGCAAGACAAAGCACGTTCTACAGCACAATGTTACTAGGTTTATTTCAGTTTTGTGCCCAATTCTTTCCACTAAGAAGGAAAATAAACATGCCTGCATGGAAAAGTTAAGCAAAAAGAAAAATGGAAAAACGTGCTAAAAAAAAATCAAACGCTTATGGGATATTCAACAAAAATGCTGAAACATTACCAAACATTATAACATTCTAAAACAATTTGATAAAATTAGAAATACTCCAGTTCATCTATCTTATAAAGAAAAAATAAATAACCAAATAGACTTTTAAAGGTGTTAAAGTTAAGAGACGTTGAATAAGGTATAGATGGAGTGTAGTGAGCAAGGCAAAAGATAATCAATAAAAGACAAGTAATCAGATTTATAGTGATAAAATGGAAGTCATTCTCATACTAAACAGTACAAACTGCAGAACTACAGATAGTCCTTATTTAGCAACTGCCTTGTTTACTGACCATTCAAAATTACTATGGTGAGGAAAAAGTAATTTTATCACCAGTTCCCGCATTTAAAACTCACGAAGGTGTGTAAAGAAAAGGAAAGCTGAACTAAGATAATAAGCACGGTGGTGGTTTCTCTTAATGAACAAGCTGCCAATGATCACTAAACAAGGACTATGTGTAATTGCTATAAGCAGTGTAGGAGAGTTCGTGAATTGGAATAGACATGGTAACAGGTGAGCCAATGGGAACTCTTTGGTGACTAAGAAAAAGCACCTGTTGTGAGCTAGACAGCTTGGAGCCTGGGCATGGCTTAGAGTATTGGTAGAGTACTAGAGTAAGAGTTAGTTTGTCCTTGGATCTTTGTTTCTGTGTTTATATTGCTTCTGTAATTATGACTTCTGGATTCTGAGTTCTGGTTCTGGGTATTAGATACATGCATCATACTTTATATTATTGTAAATAAACAAGTTTCTTCTATAAATAAATCCTGCTGAATTACTGTATTTACTTGTGTGCTAGTTGGATTGCTGCAAACTCTGACAATAATGCAGGGGCTATAGTACCAGTGGTTATTTAAAAAAGGTTTATGATAGGAATCTATTGATGGCTCAAGACTCCAAAGCTTGAAAATTTCTAGTTCCACGTGCTAACCAAGAGCGGATGGCTGCTCTTACAATTCTCAACCTGCCCTTGTGTGCTTCAATGGAAGGACCTTAGGGCGAATATGGAATCACAAATCCAGGAGATGATATAATCGTGAGACTCTTGTGGAAGGAGACCCTCGTGCTACTCCCCCCCCCCCCCCAAGATACATGAGGCACATTTTCTCTTTTATCACATTTTCTCCTACCTCCATCATCTACAAAAGTCAGCACTACATCATCCGAGTTTGGGAGCTGTTCCAGACGATCCACCTCACCCCCGTCATTCTTCCGTTTGCTGAAAAATAGGACTAGCTTGTCATAGAGCTGTTCCTTGGGTAAAGAGAAAGCAGACAACCCAGATAACAGCACTTGCTGGGAACTCTGCTTCAGGGACATCTCCTGGAATCAGAAGGGGTAAAGTCTTGAGAAAGTAGAATTGAACAATACTGCAGCATAGCATTATCATTATTATCTCTTTTATTAATTAAACATGAAACTCTAAACATTTAAAAATGTATCACAAATATAACTGACTGGTGTTAATAGTTGATACAGGTTACTGCCAGTATTCTAGGTATCAACCAAGTATTTTCTTAAGATGTATGATGTTCCCAGTAGCACAATTTTTTGCATTTCTTCTGGTGTTACTGTAGGAAGCTGCAATTTCTTAATATATTTTATAAAATTCTTGGACATGGTACCAAGTGCCCTGATGTATCACTGTTACATGCTTCACTCGTAACCGTGTAGTTTTGATGGCCAGGTCATGGATGATGATGATGATTTACTTTATTCATTAAACATGAAACATGTTGTTATTTGCATAGTCAACCAGATGTTCAGACTGGATTTTACATTTTTGTCTACCTATCAAGTTCCAAGCTGATGATGTTCAACATCATGTAGCTAGATTTTCAGGCCGGATTTAGCATTTTTGTCTACCTATCAATTTTTTCCCAAGGACTTTGGGTAGGCATGATGGAAGCTGTTCCTAGTAAAACTGCATTTCACAATTGACTGATGATGAATTTGTCAATGCTGATAGTATTCAAGTGATGCTTCAGTTGTTTTGGAATTGCACCCAAGGCTCATATTGGGTACTATTTTTGCTTGCTTTTGTCACAGTCATTCTATTTGTATCTTTTCCAGTTCTTTCTCTTCTATTCTGCTGCTTCCAGGTACTGCAAAGTCCTCAATCCAGACTTTTTTGTCTTAAGTCCGGGGTATTATGTGGCAAGAGCTTGTCTGTTTGAATTCTAAAGTCCCAGAGCAATTTAGCTTCTTTATTTTCTATGACTTTCTCTATTTTATGGTCCCATCAATTTTTGCTTGCAAGCAAATGATATTTCTTGCAGATCTTCCAACGCACCATTGTCATGCTATTGCTTGTAGTCATTCTGGGCAATTTTCTTGCAGCAACTTACCAGGCGGTCCATTGTTTCTTCAGCTTCTTTGCATAGGTGGCACTTACTGTCTTTTGCTATCTTCTCACTTTGTATTTCTCACTTCTCACTCACTCCTTTTTTATAAAGCTTACGCAGCCAGAACCAGTCCCTTGGTCTCTTTCTTCAACTTTCTGCTCTTAGCCATCACCAAGTGGGCAACCTCAGGTGAAACAGCAAATACAGAAAAAAAAGGAAAGAATGGATTTTCTGTGGCTGGACCATGACTTTAGTGCTCAGTGCCTTGACTTTTTCCTTAACTAATTAATGGAAAATATCACCAAAAATTAAAATTCAAACAAGTTATGTAAGTGATAAGGAAAGTATATAACTTTGCAGTTTGAAAATGCAAGGGGAATGTTTTTGCTTTATTTTAATTTGAACTGCTACCCTACTTTTTTTCAAACTCCTACATCTCACCATATGATTAGATATGCCAACATTCCCTCTTCAGCTTACCTATTAAGGGACTGAAACAATAAAATAGATCGATTGAGATATCTTTAATTACAGATTTAGGTAGATTGGATGAAAAGACAATGAGTAGGGAATATTACTTGCAGTTAGAGTCCCTTTCTATAATAGATCCTCCAATGCATGCATTTCTCCACAGTCAAAGGCTACAGAACTCACCTTTAAGAATGAGGGCAGCAACAATGTCATAGCTTCAGCCTTCACATGCATGTAGCTCCATTCATCTAGCTGAATACAATGCTGTCTTATTTGGATGATCCTCCTGGCAACTGATGGGGAAAAGCCAGGGAAAAGACATATTCAAAGCAAACCAGTATTTTCTATCTGCATCTCTTGTGTCAGTTCAACAAGCCCTAACTACTGTAATTTTTTCATTCAGAATTTTTGGACCATCTCATTGTTTGAATGAGTAGGCAGGATTTGGGGTTCTTTACCAATGAATTCAATACATGACGGAGTGAAAAAAAAATCAATTTCTAAAAAGGTATATAATGGAGTGCCAAAAATACAAAAGGGAGGGTTCATGAAGTTGGAATTTGTGCTTTAACTGCACTTTCTTTTGTTGATTCTTTTTTTAAAAATCTTTTGAAAATATCTGGATCACTGGCAAGATCAAGCAGCTGTGCCCAGGACCTGTAAAGGGGTCAGTGCCTTGATCAAAACTTCCCTCCCAAATTCTCTAATTGAACTCAGTCTTAGTTCTTACTGAAATGTACAGATTATTTCCATATTTTAGGCAAGATCACTTCCTCTGAATAGAAAATAAGTTCCTTGAATGAAAGGCTACAATGCGTCATTTCTACAAGTAGGAGAGCTTTTCTTATTATTATTTGTTTTGGTATAGAGAAATGTCACCAATTAAGACATTGGTTAAAATGATACAGATCACATTAAGAGAGCTGACTATTAAAATCCATGTTCCCTTTCATTTCTTCTGCTTAATATTTTTCTCCAATTTTAAAGGAATGAGCTTTACTTCTTAAGACTAAATAAAGACCGCCATGGAAAAGTAAGCCTGAACTAATATCTTAACTGATTTGAAGTCAATATAAATCATGTTATTCTTACAGCATTTTGATTTTTTTCTCCCTCCAAATAAGTTCATATTCTTTACTTCCACTATGATTCACAATTACTGGCCATCATGCTGATATGAGAATGTCACATTTGAAGTGGTTGTTCCTACCTTCAGGATCCTCAAAAGTGATGAGAGCTGATCCCCCAAATACAGGGTATCGGATCTGGGGCAAGAAAGTCAGCATTTCCGGCAAATTCTCCATCTCTCCCTCTTCCACATGACCTTTAAACACCATTTCTCTGTCAGGAAGAGCAGCTGGCGCCTGGTAATGCAGTTATATACACTGAACAGAGAGTAGCGCTATACCACATATAGCAAGTATAGAAGAGAAAATTTATAATTATTTGTAAATGCACTGCGTGTGTGTGGGGGGGGGGAGAGGTGGAATTTACAGATGTATTTGTAACGTATCTCAAAGTTCAACCATGGTGGTCAATGTATATTTAATGTTGATTCTATTTATGTTATGCACATTTTTATTATTACTTTCTCTTTTGTCTTGGCTATAGTTTTTGTCTTTCTTTTTATTGTCTTTGAAATAGTTTATTTTATATGCATCATCTGATAAATAAAAAAAATTAATAGGAAAAAAAAACAAAACTAAGTGATTTTGAGAATTCCTCCAAATGAAGAAATCTGAAAAAGAATTCTGGCTGAGGTATTGAATAATTTGTATAGTTCTGAGCCAATGCTTGCCTATAGGAATATAAATAAAATAATATGGTTTTGCACAGCCATCTCTTAAAAAAATCTTAAAACTATTTTGTCCTGATACCTTAAGAATTTTCTTCTGGGCTGCACTGAGCTGCTCCAGATAATTCAATTCATTTTCCAATGCCTGTTTTTCTTGCATTAGCTGGTTTGAATCCTTCTTTTCCAACTGAAGCATTTCCTGCAGAGAAGAATGTAGGTCACCATATCTGAACAAGTGGCATTTCCTTACCATTGAATGGCAGTCCAAAGATGCACTACTACTTTCTCTGAGAAAACAGATTACAGTCTATCAACTCCAGATAGCTACAGAAGAAACCTTCTCCATCTTATGACAAGAGGCCTGAGGTTAGGGAATCTGGCAGGAAAAACATTCTGGGAAAAACAGAATGTAGGAAACAGTAGCTGTATTTGCCTCATAGTACAAATTAACCAAATACATTTTAGTTAAACGTACTTTGCAAATTTAATTGTGTCCTTTATTGGCTTATTGAGTCCTTTGAACCTAAAAAACTGGGTTGAACAAGCCCTGATTAAACTCAGGTGAGTGATTAAACACAGGCTGACACAAGTTATTCAGAAAATGAGGTTGATCAAGCTTTATTCTGCTATTAAACAGATGGTGGCACATCTTCCTTGTTACAGGGCTGCATGGTTTCATTTCTACATTAGAAATTGTGACTTCTAATATATTCCAACTGGAATGTCCAATTGCCAGAAGTGACATGATATGCACACTTCATCTTATTTTATTTTACCCAAGTGTCTGCAAGCAATAGCTTGCAATGGCAATAACGGGAAAATTTTAGTTTGGGCCAAAGTTCTTAAGAAAAATTCTACAGATGAAAAGATCAAGGTCTTAGAAGTCTCCACTTCAAATTTATTCACCCAGTGGCTGCAAGAAGAGAGAAATTATGAAAAATAGGCAACAATGTAGGGCTTACAACATCCAACTTCTTTCAAGTATTGTCAAAATGTTTCTTTCAATTTAAAAACACACAGAATCTATTTTTAAAATTAGAGCTACTGTAGTGGGCCTCATTGTCATTTCCTGGAGATTTCTGTAGGCAATCAGAAGTAATATAATGATGCAGTCAACATGTTCTTCCATTAAAAGTTTCTAAATCTAAATGCTAAAAATCTAAATTTACAGGAAGAATTATAAGGAATTCTGGATTTAAAATGGACAGACCTGGAATGTGGCTTCCTGGGCCTGGGCTTCATTTTCAGCTTTGAGAAGATTTTGACTGAGAAGCTCATACTCTTCTTGGAATTTGATCAAGTCCTGCTCACTTGCCATTATGTTTGCCTTCAAGGATAAGCAATCTCCTTCAAAAGCTTTCCATATATCCTGAAGTTGAAAAGACAATCAAGGGCAATCAGAAATTTTCTTTTATGCTTAAACTGAGACAAAGTTAATTTAAATGGCAGGCTAAAGCGAATATATTAAGAACAACAATACCGTATGTTCCTGGTTCAACAACAGGAATTAATGATGGAATATTAATGATGGGGCATGTCTAGTGAACCTCAACTGTTAGCAATCATTCAAACTTGATCTATACATAGGAGTATAGATTAGGTTTTCCAAGGGCACCCACATATTTTATTTGAACGACTAAAGATAATTCTCTTCTCCAAATAAAATACCTGGCACTTCTTAATCTTATTTATGATTTGGACCTTTGTCATCTTCCAAGATCCACTTGCAACAAAGCTGTCACTAGCCAAATGGATGAAGGACTCCTGTGGATCACAAGATGCTTCACAGCCTTCTTCCTACAAAGGAAATATAAAGGTGACCACAAAGAATGGGCAAGGGAGCTGAGGAGAAGGGAGCATTCCCCTCATGTGGAAGCATAAGAAAATTTAAAAGGATGTAGAAAAAGCCTTCATTTGTAATAACATAAAGTGTAAACATTCCGTAAGCCAATTCCACTATGAATAAATTATAGTGAAGGCCCTTTCCACCTCTCATGGTCATAAAGGAAACAAACACAGAAACCCCCCAATTCTTTTCTTCAAGCGTAATCAATTATTGTTTTAAGGTAATTGTTCGCAAACACATCATCATTTACAGATTTTTTTGCAGACTTCCATATAATCCAGAATCCATAACATGAATGACTTCTAAGGTTTTAAGCTTATTAAATATCTGTAACTAATCAACCACTTGGCACTACCAAGTCATACTGGTTAATGGTGCCAATTGATAGCAACTTCAGGAAAACTATGAATATAAGAAGCTGGAGAAGTAATAGGGCCTAAAGAGGGAATTAGAACATATTTGGAAAGTAATGACCAGATCGATGCCAGAGCTGATAGGAGCACTCAAGGCTGTGACTCCTGAGCTGGAATGGCTCCAATAAATCCCAGGAACAATATCAGAACTCTCTGTCCAGAAGAATACCATGCTAGGAACAATTAAGATACAGTGATAGATAGATAGATAGATAGATAGATAGATAGATAGATAGATAGATAGATAGATAGATAGATAAGATGACATAGATAGATAAGATAGGCAGGCAGACACGATAGGTTGATAGATAGTAAAAAGATAAGAATATCAATATAAATAGACATATAGGCTAATGCTAAAACATAACGTGTGAATCATTTTAAGATAAATAAACACTGCCCTCTTCCTAGAAAAGCAGATGCTGCTCATATACAGTATATATGCACACACAAAAACACAGACTGGCTCCTGAGATTTTCAGTAGTGCTTACTGTAGTTAAATCTATTGTGGTGATAGTCCTGAAAGAAAAAAAATTGAAGGATGATATTTCCAATGTATTTCATGGGAGACAATCTCAAATCATTCTGCAACTGTATACAACTTTTGCACAATTTAATCTGCTTCAAGAGATGATAAGAAATAGTGTTTACAAATTAGAATCCCAATTTTTTAATCACTGGAAGACTTTCTGGTTATCAATATCCCTCATCCTTTCCCCCAGTTTTTCCGTTTTAATAGGTCTAAAACTACAGTATTGTTTGAGTTCAGACATGCTGACTAGAGTTTAACTATACATTGCTGACTAAACCACAGTTGACTTGGCTTGCACTTTCCAGGAATTTAAAGGGAATGCATTACAAATCTCTGTAACTAGATTCATGCAATAATTGGATGAACGAAACACATCTTTTTTTTCAATAGTTTTATTAGCAATTTTATTAAATAGATAAAACTAATAAAAAAATCCAGAACAAAAATACATCTTAAAACAGGAAAAAGCTATGGGGAAAAAAAAGAAAAGAAATCCCCCCCATAAGAAAACAGTAAGAAAAATAATCTTCTCTCTGCATTCCTAGCAAATATATTCAACATTAACTGTTATCGTTTTTTAAAATACAACCAAACATATTTTGCTTTTATACCTCACCCCATTTTCTATTACCTCATCTCTCCAAATCTCCTTAACAACAAAGATCCAGTAAAAATTAACAAAAATAACTAACAATACATAATAAGTACATAATCTCCTTTTCCATTATATTGCTGGCAGGGGAGATACCATAATTATGAAACAACCATATTTGATACTTCCAGTGTTACATGAATGTAACTTTTGGCAACTCCAATTGTCTTTAAAAAAAACAGTGAACACTTATAACAAGTAAATTAGTTAGTGGATACTTTATGATTTTCAAATAATCTCTAGTGATAAATAGTAAACAGGGTCTAGGATCCTGGATTTTGAGATGGTGCTGGACAACCCATTTCTTCAATGCCAGCACTAATGATGTTACCTAATTTGGATAATGAAATGGCGGCAAGAAAACAACCAAATTCAAAATGTCTATGGAAATTCTCAATCATCCAGGTCATTGGTTGTCCTGAAGATGTTTCTGCGTTTTTTCCTTCTCATCCAAGATGCGAACTGAACTGAACAAGCTTCTTGGATGAGAAGCGAAACGTCTTCGGGGGGGGGGGGGGGGGGGGGAAAAAGAGGCGGTCCACTTGCCTTTTGAACAGCACCCCTGAGACAATCAAGCTCAGACAGCACCAAGGACCGACGAAACTGCTTACACCATCTTTCTTTCCCCAATCTCTTCCGATCTAAGTACAAGAGCACCCCCCTTTTCGGGAGGCTTGTCATAACTGGAGGAGAGGCTAACACTGTTGCGATCACCGAACACAATTCTCCATTTTTTCTTAAAAAAAGCGTGATTTTTGTAGGGAAGAAAGGAAACTTAGTATTTGTCCCGTTCCAAACTGTTTACCTGCAAAATCCGTGGGGCTCGCTTCTCGAAGTTCGCTTCCACTTTCGATTTCAAGAACCTTCGACTTTTTCCCGTCAGCCCCGTCTGCCGGGCAAGATTCTAGCTGATAGGAAAAGGAGGCGAGCTTTTTATCAAAACTTTCATAAAGCTGTCGTTGTTCCTCAGCTCTGTAGGCTTTAATCCAAAAAGGTCTAAGTCAAATTCTATTTCTGGCTGGACAATTTATATGCATGCGCCTTCCGGAAAACCCTACTTCTGCCCAAACATCGGAGCGTTTCATAAATTTCAGGAAATGGATGTTGACTTGGTTAGCTAAGACGTGCTTTCATGTTAAGTTTATCCAATCACTTAGAACAGAATAACAGAATTGGAAGGGATTTTGGTGGTCTTCTAGTCCAACCCTCCTGCTTAGGAAGGAAATCCTATACCATTTCATACAAATGTTTTATTTGCTGCCCAGCCGACGGTCGGGGACTTCCACCAAAAGCAATAAAATAAAAGGAGGTAATTCTAACTCTTATCTTGTACATAAAACAAAATGTATAGTTTTTTCCTATTCAGTAACTGTTATTCAGGAATTGGAATTAAAGACTTTGTTTTTAAGAACGTGACGGAAAAATTAAAGCTACAAACTCTCGCATTTTTACTTTACCTCTTATCTGCTCTTCCTTCTGTTGCAAACTCATTCCCCATTTCCCCTCAGCTTCTCCCCTGCCACCCATGTGTAAACTAGTAGCAGAATTTCAGGCTAATGCATAACTCAAACATAGCTTTCAGGTGCCAAGATTTTTTTTTAATTCCACCACAAAGAAAACAATAAAAAGCCCCTACCTAAAAAGTTTACTCAGGGTGCTACTCAAAAAAACCCGTCTAAATAATTTTTGTTCCTTTTTAGTATCTCATTTTACCCCAACCAGCAACTTGTTCTAATGAAGAATATTGAAGGAGTGTGTGTACTGTAGTAATAATCATATGCACATTATCATTTCCTATAATGTATTTCCCATTCCTTTATGTAGCACCTAGCATACTGTTCAATACTGGAGATTTATTTTTGTCTATTCAGTCTGACAATCAGGTTACAAGTCTTCAGAATTCCCTTAATCATAATTAGAAGCCGGATCTGTTCAAATTTGTCCCAACATGTATTGGAATCAGACCACTTTTTGTTCTCTTTATTGTACTTGACAATGTATTTCATTAGACTGTTTAATACTACCAGATCTGGGCAAAAAAATCCAGACAACCAGCAGATGGCAGTAAGGCTGTAACGCAACCTCTATTGCCTTTGGTCAACTGGATTTCTGCAGGCTAGTTCTGGTAATCTAATTCTAATTAATCAATGAAGGAGGAAGCTTGCAATAATATTACAGAGAAATAGAGTTTTCAAAAACATTTATTGGTTCAGTTGAAAAGAAATCAGAATCTGAGCTTCTGGAAAAACCACTTGTTCTTGCCTGTCTTGTATCTGAAAGAAAGAAAACATTTTTTTGTTCTGTAAATCTGTGTTAAGTAAGCATCAGCCAAAGCAATCACTTCATATATGAAATGAGCTAAGCAATCAGTATGTTTATAATAAATATGATGGTTGATAATTTTAGGACTTGTAGACCTGACATATTCAGAGGTATGGAGTATGGAAGACTGATATAAAGCAAGAGACATTGTCAGAAACACGGAAATTATACAATAAGCCATATTAAGCATCCTAACATATGGTAAATTCCTTCTTAAAAGTATTTCCTTTATTAGGGCAACTCAAAGTACAGGGAACCTTGATTTACAGCCATTTGTTTATGACCACGGAAAAGTGACATGACCAGTATTTGCTTATGACCATTGCAACATACCCAATCAAATGATCAAAATGTGGGGGGTTGGCCACTAGCATGTTATTTATGACAGCTGCATTGACCCAGGATTGCAGGGTCATGTCATCACTATTGGTAAAACCCAGTTACAGCTTATATGAAATTATTCTGCATCCATTTTTTCTTATAATTTTTTCCTCCCTTAAAAATTAATGTCTGAACTGTTATAAAATAAACTAAGTAAATTATGATTATCTTGTAAAACATGAATGAATAGAAGTATAGTCAAATGATTAATAATGATACTAAGGTATTTAATTTTTGATTGAAAATATGAGATTATATGCAATGTAACTGTAATTGAAGACTACGAAATGGAAGCACAAAACAATTTGTAAACCAACCGGCACACTGTATGCACACATATGGAAGATAGCTTTATGTTTTTATGTTTTGTTTGTTTATGTTTGTTTTAAAAAACCAATAATTTTTTTTTAAAAAAATTAATGTCTGTAGTTTGAATTCAACTGGAAATATAGTATCATTCCAAATTCACCTTTCTTCAAATTTCACTTTGGCCTCTCGCCGTGCCTTACGTTTCAGGGCAGGATCTCTAAATACATCCTTGTTGACAATGGTTTTGTCCAGGGGAATATCAACAGAGTACCTAAACAAAACACAAGAGGTGGCAAAGTTACAAACCCAGAAGCACTTTTGCCCTCTTGTCTGGCTTTTATTTCAAGTTCACAGCTGAAATCAGAGCATAGGAGAAAGGAGTTTGAATCAACTATTGCTCTTGGTTGAAAGATATAAATATAGCCCTACATACGTTCTGTTCCTCCCAACTCACCTGGTTGGCATCAAGTGGTTGTAATTGTAGACTTTAACAAAGGACTTGATTTTGGACCTTTTAGCAATCTTCTTCTTGCCCATACTGGCTGTTACTTTGCGTGGGTAACGATCAATACCTGCCACCAAGGCATGGCTGTATGGGCGGTCTGAAGTGCCATCATCAATGTTCTGTAACAGAAACTCATTAGAAAAGTCATAAGAGGCATCTACTACAATGTCAAACAATGATACTGTTAGGTAATAAACTGCAAGTTTATTCAGGAGGGAAAAATAGTACTATTTTTGTTTTGCTCTGAACAGGAAATTATTTGGACCCAGTCAATTAAAAAAATCCATTTTGTACTTTTTCAGTTGATCACTGTGCAATTCAGTTGATCCATCAAGGCTGCCAGGCATGTGAAGTCAAAAGCATAAATGAAGCAAGCAATCTGTAAAGCCAGAGCTGCAAATGCTGCAACAATGGAACCCACATGTGGCAGAACATCCTGTGCCCATATAGGCCTTACCAGTGACTTGCAGACACACCATGGACAGCCCACAACCTGTTAGATGTCAAGGTCCTCTTTGAATATGATGGATGAACATCACTATCTAGATCTTTCTTTGCTTTATTTACTTCAGAATTTACTACTCGCTTTTATGGGTTTAAAGAATTTGTTATCATAAAATGTGCCTACACATATCATTCCAATTTTCAAAACCATAATTGAGTGGAAAAAATGAACTCTGCATCAAGTTTGTTAGACTTTATATAGCTCAACTGAAATCAGAGATCAATTTTAAATCACGCCATACACAAGTAGACACAATACAAGTTTATTGACCTCTCATCACTTTCTAAGATCACTTTAAAACAGAATTCTCAATTATGATATTCAAAGCCCTTGATTTTCTACCTTTGTTGTTACTGTTCCTGATACTACTTTCTTAGTGTGTAACTCTTTATTAGATTGCAATATTTATTATTGTTATGTAGCTTTTGTGATCTACTCTATGCTACCCAAAGTGACTTTGATTTGATGTAAAGTGGTTCTGAAACGGTTTATTGTTGACATATTGAATAAATAAATCTAAGATAATATCAAGTGCATTCCATTACTTTGGGCACAACTTCTAGAAAATAAATTGGCAACACAGTCAATCTTGGAAAAAGCAAAGCAGGATAAGACACAATTGAGATTTAGATGGCAAACCACCAGTAAATCCCAAGGTTGTACAGCGGAGTATAGAAAAATATTCTGGAAGAAGGCAGTGGCAAACCACTTTCATACTGCTGCCAAGATGACTGCATGGATATGTTTATGGTCACCCAGAGCTGAGTTTGGGGAGGCTTTACTAAACTACTTGGTGAAGAGATCCAGCTTTCTCACCTTAACAATAACAGCTTTGCGTCCAGAATAGCGTCCAGCCAAAACAAGAACGACCTTCCCAGGTTTCATAAACTTGCCCATTTCTGAGTAGAACAGTGAAGAAAAACTTTAAAATGCAATCACATATACATATCACATCATTATTTGAAAAATCGAGCATTTCCTTGCCATCAGCCTGTCTATCATTCATATATTAAGTATGGTTTCATCTGATAGTGAGACAACCCGGCTCTGAACAACTTTGTCTTTAGCAATCAGAGGAGTGTTCAACGATGGTTAGGAGGAAGTTTGATCATCAACACAGGGTCACGTTAATCTCGTAGACCCCAGAGCCGAGGACAATGCCGTCCCACAAGAAGTTTTTGCTTTATTTTTATTTAAAAGTAGACAATACGTTTATTCCAGACGGAGGCAATTTTAACCATGAACGCGGAAGAAAAACATAAGCCCTTAAGAGAATATATTTCCTTCTCTAGTGCCGGCACACCACAGACCATGAGAAACTAAATTCCCTACCATAGTTATTTACTTATTTTCAAACCTCCCAAACCATCAGAGACACATCTGATACCTTAGGCCCTGTCCCACCAACCTGACTTTTCAAACAGTTTGAGAGGATTACAACGGATTGTTCCACAACGGCTACACAACCTTACCGAAGGTATTCCGTCTATGGGACGAAGCCGGAAAAGGAGAGGCACGTAACTTCCGCCGACCTTTCACCCCTCCCTGAACACACTGCGCAAGCGCGCTTTCGTTCAGCGGGCGGGAGTGTGAATGATTGATGTGGGGTTTCCGTTTACCTGAGTATTTAAAAAGCAGTTTCTCTCGTCTTTTTTCTAAGATTGATATTTGCCTTTACAAAATAATTAAGAAATCCAGGATCTAAGAGTATTTTTTTTTCAATTATGTGTTTAGCTTAGTATGTTTACTACCTAGTCTACCCACAACAAATGCTGATCAATAATTCCTCTGCCGTTCTTTTCTCTCAAACTTTGTGTGAACATGATCGTTCGAATTAAAAGCGGAAAGTCAGATTTCGAGAGCAATCAAATCTAGAATGACAACTGATTCCATTCAATAGATTAAAAAACACACGCACATGGTAATACAAACTGGCGTCAGGTAAGCTAGGAGCCCCTTTCCCCTTTTCATATTGAACTGTGTATTAAACCAAGGGGAAAGGAGTTAGCGCAGCGTATGTATTACGATCAATTTATTTAACATTTCCTAAACACTTTTGCTGTAGAAAAAGGCCTTACTGGGACTACTTGAATTGGGTCAAAAGCAATTTAGAAACTTGCTGGGCATGGTAGAGGAAAATAGCCTATCAGTCAGAGAAGGATAGAAAAGAATAGAATTCTTTATTGGCCAAGTGTGATTGGACACACAAGGAATTTGTCTTTGGTGCATATGCTCTCAGTGTACATAAAAAATAAAATACATTCATCAAAAATTATAACATACAATTCTTAGTGATAGTCATAGGTTACTAATAAGCAATCAAATCATACTAGGAAACTAAAAAGTATAAATCATAAAGATACAAGCAACACTGTTATAGCCATAAGCGGGAAAAGGTAGGTACTAGGAAGGATGAGAAGAATACTAGTAATCCAATCTTAGCAAATAATTTGACAGTGTTGTGGGAATTAGTTGTTTAGCAGTGATGGGATTCAAGAAAAAACT